TACTGATTGTCGGCAACATTCAGACACCGGGACAGACGAGCTCTAGTCTCCCCTGGGGTTTATTTTCTGCGTGGGGGTGTCAGATAAGGAACATTTTTCACAGCTGGACAGCTTCCCCTCGCGGCTGACGCAATCCTCAGATGCGCCTCGTCCATTGGGACTTGGGTGCTCACACCCTGTACGGGGGACAGGACCTTCTGGGTGATTTTAGCAGCTTGAAGACTTGATTGTCATGAGCCATGTTTTCCTTCCCGCTCTGCCGTCTCCAACTTTGTGGCATGCTTTGTGGCGTGTCCATGCCGCAGTTTCTAGAAGTATCATGTAGCTGCAACAACATATTTTGGAAGAAAGAGGGTGTTTCTCTTTTGATAGCAAGGAAAACCTTCCCCGCCCACCTGCAGTGGCCTTCTCCTCCCTCCAACTGGCTAGAATGCCACCGCATGCCCGGACCCGGCCTGGCTTGGACTGCGAGGAGCCGGGAGGGCCCGTCGTGCTCCCCTCTCCAGACCCGGGGCTGGCGTGGCGCCCACGGCCACGCAGAGCACATTCTGTGTCCAACGAAGTCTTGATTTTGTTAGAAAAGCGCAAGGGGAGAGCCACCCGCAGGCTCTCCTTCCTCATGCAAACAATTAAACAGGGGAGAGACAAAATACGTCGAGGCCACGGTGGGGGCATGGAGGGGCGGCTTCAGGGACGGGCCCCTCCGAGGCCAAGATGGTGGAGCTGGTCATAGCCAGACGGGGGTCCGAGCGGAGGGCAGTGCACGCGGAGTCCTGGTGTGCTCGAGTGGAGGAGGGCGCTGTCAGGGGCGGGGTGGGGCCAGGGACACAGCGGAGGAAAGCCAGAGACAGACAGCGAGCCCGGATGTCAGGACTGGGGACGTGGTCACTCCCGGGCAGCTGCTGGAACTGTCGGCGAAGAGCCAATGACGGTCTCTCAGCAACTCTGCAGAAGCACTCGCATCCATCCGTCCACTGATGCTCAACGAACACGTCGCTGTCCCCAGTGTGCCAGGCACTGTGCTAGCGGCTGGGGACACACCAGTGGCCCAAACAGACAGAATGCCATGGGGCTCACGTTCTGATAGGAGGAAACAGATAATAAGCAAACGCCCACAGATGAGCCAAGTGTGAGTCTGCTGCAGATGACCCAAGCTCTGGAGGAAAGTAAACACGGATCGGGAGGGGACTGTGGGACAGGGACGCACCATGAACGGGACGGCGGGGTGACCCCTGCAGTGCTGGCGCTGGAAGCCTGGGAGCGAGGGGGCCGTCTGCAGGACGGCCCAGCCAGAGCAAGCGGATGCCACCTGCGCAGTGGAGGTCCCCACGCCGGAATCCGGGCAGTTGGAGCAGGAGGTGTGGTCTGTCAACTAGGAGCTTTTGGTTTCCGGTACTGAGATGAGAAACCTGACAAATGGGTGTAAACAACCAGACAGCTCTCTGAGAGGTACCGGTGGGGGAGCAAGCTCAATTTTGGGTGGTGCTGCCATCTGGCGATGCTGTCCAGGACACGGCATCTCCCATCTGCTCTGACATCCTGGTTCCGTGGGCTCGGCCCTCAGGCAGGTTCCCCTCTTGGTCACAAGACGGCTGCAACAGGTCCAGATGTCTCACCCAGACGGCACAGTGCTCAGAGGACACAGGAACCCATCTCTTTCTTTCTGGGGAGCCCAAAATACCTTCCCTGGAAGTCCCCTAGCAGATTGATCATGGATCATTGGCCAGAATTGGATCATGTGCCCATGGCTAACCCTATCACTGGCAAGAAAAAGGGAAGCGGCTCAAACTCATCTCGTGGACACGGACGCTGGGGAATCAGTCACGTCATCAGCATCTGGCCGTGTCTGGTAAGTTGCCAGGCAGCTTCCCCAGCCTTGCTTCCCACGGTCTCCGCTGTGACGGAGCAGCAGAGTCGCAGAAAGTCTGCGTCGCTGTGTCAATGCCCCATGCAGCATTAATGCGACTTTCTGAAACGAGCAGTTCCAGGGAGACACTTTGCAGCGTTGATTTACACTTGGGTGGGCAGTGACTGTTTTCCTCGGTCATTCTCAGTATGTCCTGATGGGGAAGAGAAACTTAAAAATTCAACAACAGGAAGAAGCTGTAAGAACAAAACGCACCATCCTTGTAAGCCGGCACCCTTTTCCTCGTGTCGCCAGGCAAGAGAGTTGAGGAGCGTTGCTCAAGGAGCACACACGCACCGTGCTGCCTGCCCGCGGCAGAGAGAGCCCCCCCGTGCAGAGTCCCTGGTGGGAAGGCTCTTCTGACACACAAGGCGGGGACAGAGGCTTCAGCGCCTCCTAGTTCTCCTGCCTTTTTGTTTTTGGAATCGACGTCTTGGCCATGGGGTGCAGATCGCCTGAAGGACGGAGCCCAGGCACCTACTGCAAGAGCGAAGCTGGAGCGGAGGGGCAGGTTTCAGCTGGGCCCTAACTAACCTGGGGAGATGGCTGGCATGGCTGGCATGGCTGGCATGGCTGGAATGAGATCCAGCGGGGATCAGGCTGGTTGCCAGCAACTACATTAGTGCCCAGAAGAGAGAGATTTCCCCTTCACTGTCCACCTGCCATCTGTTCCTACCTCGTGTCAGGGCAGCCTCTGTCCCCACCTCCAGAGCTGTCTCCCCCTGGCGTACACGTGGCCACATGGGCGTGGAGTTGCATTTCTCCCTGGCAGACAGCCTGCTACATATGGGCAACATAGACGAGGGATGTTTGTTGTTTTTTTCTTATACAAATAAGTTAAAATAAACACTATTGAAAAGGAGGGTGATGGATGTCTAAGCTGAATTTAATTATTTTTAAATTTGAGATGTCAAAGCATTGACGCTATTTTTTGCGATTGACACTCCTGCAAGGTACAGGCATTTCACGCATTTCTATTTTAAGGGAGAAGAAGGCTGTGACTTAAATATATATTTTTATATTAGCATCATTGATAGGATTCTTAGGACATCTCCAAACTTGGAACAAAACTGGAATGGCCATCCAGTGTACCCAGCTTCCGTGTTGGTTCAAAGTTAGAAGATTCAGAATGGGGATAAGAGATGCTGTGATCTTACCACCCCATTAAAAAGTGGGCAAAAGATACAAACAGAAGTTTTTTCAAAAGAAGATAGATAAATGGCCAGTAAACATATAAAAAAACGCTCAACGTCACTAATCATTAGGGAAATGCAAATTAAAATCATAATGAGATACCACTTTACTCCTGTTAGAATGGCTTTTGCTAAAAAGTCTAAAAACAATAGACGCTGGTGTGGATGCAGAGAGAAAGGAACGTTTAAACATTGCTGGTGGGACTGCAAATTAGAACAACCCCTACGGAAAACAGTGTGGAGATTCCTCAAAGAACTAAAAGCAGAACTACTATTTGATCCCGCAATCCCACTACTGGGTGTCTACCCAAAGGAAAAGAAGACATTTTATCAAAAAGACACCTGCACTCAAGTGTTTATTGCAGCACAATTCGCAGTCCCAAAGATGTGGAATCCAAGTGCCCATCAAGTCATGAGTGGATTAACGAAATGTAGTACATGTATGCCATGGAGTTCTACTCAGCCACGAAGAAGGATGAATTAATGCCTTTCGCAGCAATTTGGAAGGAACCAGAGACCATCATCCTAAGTGAAGTGTCTCGAGAATGGAAAACTTAACACCGCATGTCCTCTCTGATGAATGGGAACTAACCGATGGACACGCGTGCCATTCGCACTTTTCGCAAAGTCTGTCCCGAGGCCCTGGACGGCACCTGTGCTCCTAGACGTGACGGTGTGGCGGGGCGCTGCTCCTCTCCCAGAACATCCCCTGACATGCCGGTGGGCCCGGGGCCCCAGGAGACCCCTGGGATGGACGTTCCTGCGGAGGGTGGGCGCATCTAGGAGAGAAGGGCCGGAGGGCAGGCAGCCAGGAGAGCTGCCAGAGAGCACGGTGTGGGGGCGGCAGAGCCAGTGGGGGGAGGGAGGACGGCCGGGGGACACGTCCCGGTAGTGGGATTCCACAGAGAGGGGCTGGGGGTGCCGTCCAAGGACGCCCCGCCCCCCAGGAGTGGACCTGCCGGTCCTCGTGTGGCACTAGCCCGTGAGAAGCTCGACCTTCAGTGAAAGCCGCGGGGCGGGACTCTGGCTCACAGATGCCGGGTCCCTGGGCCGACTGTCCTGGTTGAAGTCCGGCTCTGGGCGCAGGTTCTCACGGCCGCCACACGCTCTGTTTTGGTCGTCCGTGTCCTCCCTAGACGGGGCGGGTCCTCCTGGCCCCCACAGTGTCGGGAGCACAGCAGCAGGCACTTGTCCAGAGGGTGGGACCAGTGCGTAACCGGCCGTTCGTGATTTGGGTCTGACGCGCCGCTTCCCACCGCCGGTTCCGCAGCTCCCCGCGGTGCGGGCGCCCACCCGCCCGGTCACCTGCCTGCTTGGACGTCAGCCCCCCACAGACGGGCTTCTCTGCAGTTTTCTATCGATGCTGGGACCAGAAGTAGATTTTTTTTTTAACACTGAGATAAACTTTCGCAGCTTCATGAATTGTACTGAAAACGAGCGAGTCCCAGAGCAACGTATCAGTCCCACATTCTGAGGTTCTTTCCGCGATGCTGCGTCCTTTGCGTCCTTCCTGGGGGTGAGTGGCCGGCCCGCCACCCTCCCTCACACACACGTCCCCTTCCCTCCCCTGCTCTGTCCACACTTTCCATAAAACCGCAAACAGCAGGCGGGAGGTGCTGGCGCTGGCAGCCACGTTGGGTGTGAGACTGGTTACGGGACCTGCGCCGGAGCAGGCCCTGGCCACGGGGCAGGGGTCTCGGCACGTTCTTCCCGCCACTGTGAGGTGTCAGCCGCCTGGACCAAGCTTCAGAAAGGAACAAACAGGAATCGGGTCATGGGTGTTGTCACACCGGAGCCACGTGCCGTGCTGTGCGCTGGGGTCAGGGACGGGCGCAGATACGTGAAAGAAACTACCCGTCCCGAGGTCTCAAACCAGGTGTTTTCTCTTTCCTCCCCCTCAGGTACGAGCAGCCGAAGTGTGACAACACAGCCAGGGCGCACCCAGCCCGAGCCAGGGACCTGTACAAGGGCCGGCAGCTGCAGGGTGAGTGAGCCGGTGGTTGGGGCTGGGAGCCGGCTGCCCCGTGAGACCTCCTGCGGATCTAGGATGAAAACGAGCTTATCCACTCCACGTAGCAGAGCGCTTGGTTGGGACCTTGAGCTCGAGGCAGACTAAGAGGGTCCCGTAGGTAAAACCTGTGGGGGGCTCCCTAGGTTGCCGTCACTTGTGGCTGGCAAAGTCCTGAGAGCCACCAATGCGAGATCAGACATGGAAGAGAAGGAAAAATGCCAGAAAATTAGCACGGCAGAACCTCATGCTTCTGAAATACACAGCCAAAGGATCCTCTATTTATTCTACCTAAAAGAAAGCAATAATTCAAATGTCATTCTCTGACATTTTAACAAAACAAGAGCTCAATCTATGTGTCAAGTGAGTTCAACTGCAAAGAACTGTTTGAAACTAAGCAGAGGCAGTGAGTTTAAATTTACAATGATTACGAAAAGCATTCACAAAAACATGGTCCATAGATATTCTCTTCCATCAAAAAGCAACACACCAAAAATGATTCCTTAGCAGTTAAACCTAAAGACTGTCATGGAGCCGCCATCCTTGTAGGAATTTATGCAGATGAGACACGGCTGCCGGGGTGGAAAGCCCCAGTAGACGCAGCGCGTGGTCCCAGCTCAGTGCCCGTTGGGACATCGGGTGGCTCAGGGGCAGAGCTCTGACATCACAGGTGACTTCGACGCCATCGGTCAGAGGCTTCAGAGCCACTTGATGTTTTATTTCATTTTGATCTGCTTTGTTCATGAAACATCTTCAGGTCCTGAATGTTTAGCCAAAGTCTCAGAGACCACGAACGTCACTCTGTAACGGTTTTACTGACAGCGGAGTTTGACCTTGGTCTCACGTGGAGTCTGGACAAGTTCCTTGGCAGAAAACTTGCGGTTCCTGCGGTATTCGCACTATCGCTAATAAAGGGGGTTTTAAATTTCTACAGGTAAAGATGTTTTTCTGCTTATAAACAAAGATAGGACGACCAGAATATCCAGTATGTAGCTTCTTCATTCCTACATGTCTGTGTCTCTCCAACAACACTGGGACGAGAACACCTGGCACGGAGGAGGCAGAGGTGGCGCAACAGGTTCTGGGGAAGTGAAACACGCCTTCTCCACCAGCACCGAGTCCCAGCGGCCCCTCGGTCCCTCTGCTTGTCCTGGGATGTGCTTGTCCCCTTCCCAGCAGGGCGCCACCCCTGACAGTGCAGACACCAACACCCGTGCCGATCCCCAGGGGAGGGTCAGCCAGGTCCCCGGAGGTACTGATTCGCCACTGAGTTGCGAGCGGAACCGTCTGCCCCATCACGTGGTGTCGGCTCTTCCCTCTGAAGTCAGATTTTAACACTGGTGGGCAACGTGTTTCCTACAAAAATATAACAAACTTACCACGTGCATGGAAAACCCTCAGTAGATAGTTGTTTGCTCATTTTGACTGGTCTTAATCGTGTCATCTAAATGTCACACAATCTGTCCTTTGCCACCAACATGCTTCTTAAAGGGTCCAAGATGCTTAAAATTTTTTTTTTTTGCTCATGCAAAGCTGCTTTACTTTTCGGCCAAGCTGCACTGTTCTCGCTGTCTTTGCACAGGTGGCAGGAACATGATGTCTGATGTGCATCAAGCTTTACTCTTTGCTGGTAGAAGAGACTGTGACAAAAGGTGACTTCTGTTACCTCCCATGTTTGCACTCGGTGGGAAGATCTTCTTGTGGTGAAATCAAAGCACTGACCCCTCCACCAGGGTTCTTGATTAAAGACTGAATTGGTCGTTCATCTGGTGAGAACAAACGGTCACTGACGTGGACAAAAGTGAAATGAGGCTGTCGTCTTCTCTGGATGTCAGAGCGTCTGCGCTGCGGGGAGGCGCAGAGCCGGGCTCCCTTCTGCCGGAGCGCGGGGAGGACGGTTAGGCCGGCACGACAAAGACGGGATCTCCTCACCCGCAGCCCAGATAAAAGCGGATTTCTCGGGCATCAGAACCGTGTTATGCGAACTGCGTAAAGGTCGGCTTATTCTGTGGTTGTAGACGTTTGGGATTGTGCTGCTCACGAATACTTAATCGGTTTGATTATTTGGAGATAATTATCCTCATTAAGGAGAAAAACAAGTAGGTCTTAAAATAACTCCGGGATAGAGGCTATTCTTGGTAACAGGAAGAAATAGATTTCTCTTCTGGGAAACAGGAGAGACCTATTTCCAAAATAATAGCAACAATTGGCCAGACAGATCATTCTAGTCCCACACGGGCTGATACCTTTTCTTCTTAAAAGGCACAGTTTTCATCTGAAGTTGCTTTTCTATGTTTTGTCCAACGAGGGTCCTTTATTTTCCAAGTAAAGCTGATGATCTTCTCACACACAATTCACTGTTGTGAGGGTTGGTGGCTGCCCCGTGTGTGTTCCTGTCACATGTAGGAGCCTTAGCAGGTTTTGTAGCTCACCCCAGCTGACAGCAAATGGTCATTTGATCCCCGGAGGCCAGGACTTCACCCTTCGAACAAGAGATGGAGGCCCAGCCTACGGGGTTACATAACGAGATTGGAGCCGTTGTTTTGGCTTTCGAAGATCTGTGTTTTATTCTCTAAGTTTCCTTGCAGGATGTTTGTATCTTCTAGAGAGAAGTCTAAAGCTCATGTGGCAGAAACTCTAAACAAGGCATCAAACCGCGCCTTCTCCCTGTGCAGATTTCCCCGCGTCGTTTTGCCCTGGCACCTAGTCGCACCCCGGTTGGTGTTTCACGGTGGCCACCTGCTCTGTCTTGGCCTCCTGCACCCTGTGTGGCTGCGGGGCCACTTGCGGCTGCGCTGTGGTCCCGCGGGGCCCTGCTGGCCGGCTCCCACTCCTGAGCCGTCCTCCCTGGGCTTCCTGTGGCTCTGTCCTCGTCCTTCAGGACTAGGCTACTGTCTGTCTGCACACACCTGCCCCAGGGCAGCCGGGACACTGCACGTTCCTCAGGTGTGGACCCACAAGCTCTGCCCTGGGCCCCGCATGGCCCCTGAGAGGTGGAGACTGGGTACTGGAGTATTCCCACCACCCAAAAACGCGTAGACTGATGACACTAAGCCGTTTTTCTTCTCCTGCTGTAATGCCATTTGGCTCCTGTGTAGAGTGATGTTGCTGGACTGTGGCCACGTGGCTTTGCTTATTTCGAGGGCCTGTAGCATCGGTCCCAAGTGGGGTCTCCAATGTGGGAGAGGGGGGCTTCCGACCTGAAGAGCATTGTGCTGGGTTTGCACCCGTCCTCGGCTCTGTCTGCCCAGGGAAAGGGCGAGGCCAGCAAAGCCTTCCCCTCTTCTCTCCCTGGGGTGCCGGCTGCACCCCTCTAAGGCCGGCAAGACGTGACCAGAGGGAAGATGGGGGAAACGACAAAGGCAGGGGCAGATGCTTGCCCTCGGGAGGCAGCGGCGTGGGTCGGGACGGCCCAGGGAGCTGGCACAGAGCTGACGGTGGGACTGGTGTTTACAGGGAAGTCAAAGTGAGTTATTTTTACTGCTTGGATTTTACGACTTCTCATAACTTGTACTGGTCAGATGATTGTATCTTTCGTCCTTAAGCACAATGTTTGGCTGTGCTCATCCTCAGGCGCAATGGTAGTTGAACAAACAGGCTCTTTCCCTTTCCTCTGGGCCTTTGCTGCATTTCATCTACGCTAACGGAGGAGTCACTCGTTCCAGCCGTGGGCCTTCGCAGCGCAGTCGGGCGGTACTCGTGGGCATTGCCTACCACGTGGCCCACACAGGGCGCAGGTAGGAAGCTCTGTGCACAGGTGAGCGACGCGGGACTCTGAGTCCCCACCTGGCGCTCTCCGTCCTCCGTCAGTGTGGGTGGGGACCGCACCGCCTTTCCGTGGACATCTCCGTGCAAGCGCAGCTCCGGACCCACGGCGGGATGCGGAAGGGGGAGCGCAGACGTCCCAGGCTTCCCGGCCAACCTGAGGACGGCCTCCCCTCCCGCCGCGTCCCCCAGCCAGAGCCTTGTCCATCTGGCACAGGGGTGTGGAGCGGCATTTAGTTTGGTCAAACAGCCTCTCTCCAGAGTGTCCTGGCAGCTCCTTGGGCCCAGCGGCCCCCGCTAAGAAGCCGGGTCTCCCTGGGCCACAGCACAAGCCGCCTCACGCTGCAGCAGGGAACGGCCCCTTCCTCAGGGCCCGCGCCACTGCAAGTACGTTACAGTCTTTGACTCAAATAGAAACCCCAAAGCAGCCTCTGGATTTTTAAGCAATATTTTAGCACTGTTCTAAATTTCGTCAAAATTAATTATGATTTTCTGAGGCAGCATAACATGATCCTTACCTCGCCCCAAACACAGCTGAAGATATTTTCCAAAAGGTAATTCGAGCCTGAAGTGCACGCTTGTGCCAGGTATCGCATGGCACTTAATGACTTCGGCGTTTACCTTTCCTCGGGCAGAGACAGCAGCGAGGCACTCACAGCACAGCCCCTGACGGCCTTCCTGAAACAGGGAGAGAAGAGACGCCAGTATTCCGCCCATTAAAAACGCCAGTGACGCTCAAATGCTGAATCCACAGACACAAGTGTGCCAACCTCTGGCTGAGCTGGGGCAGGTTGTCCCGCTGCAGACACGCAGCCCTCTGGTCCTGGGAGCGCGGCGGCCTGGGGAGCTCTGCCCCTCGTTGCGTGCCCACGGCAGGCGCGTTTCCAAAAACACCCCGTGGTCTTTCTCCGCCGAGGCTGGGGCGAGGCCGAGGCGGTCAGGAGGTTGGGGTGCATGTGCCGCGTGCGGGAGTGGATGGTTGAAACAGCCTCTGCTTTTGAGGGCTGTCCGGCGGCATCACACCTGCAGAACATCGCTCGCTGACGGCGTCGCAAACTCAGGGCTGCATCTCTGGGTGTGCGAGGGACTGTTGGGAAGGGCGGCACCTGGAAGAGTGGCCTGAGCCTACGTTATTTTGTTTTGGATCTCTAGGCTTGACGATTAATTGTGAAATTAAATTTGCAGATGGAAAGCTTACTAACCCTTTAGAA